CTGGATCTGGGTCTGGGGTCTGGGGCTGCCTCTGAGTCTGGGCCTGGGTCTGGGCCTGGGTCTAATTCTGGGTCTAGGACTGGGTCTAGGTCTGGGTCTGGGTCTAGGACTGGGTCTGGGTCTTGGACAGTGTCTGGGTCTGGGACACTGTCTGGGTCTGGGACCGTGTCTGGGTCTGGGTCAGGGTCAGGGTCTGGGGTCTAGGGCTGCATCTGAGTCTAGGACTGGGTCTGGGTCAGGGGCTGTGGCTGGGTCTGGGTCTGGGGTCTGTGTCTGGGACTGGATCTGGACTTTGTGTCTAGGGTCTGGGGTCTGGATCTGGGACTGGGTCTGAGTCTGAGTCTGAGGACTAGGTCTGAGTCTGGGAATGGGTCGGGTTCTGGGTGTAGTTCTTGGTCTAGGACTGGCTCAGGGTCTGGGTCAAGGGTCTGAGGTCTGGGTCTAGGACTGGGTCTGGATCTGGGGTCTGGGGCTGAGTCTGAATCTGGGAATGGGTCTGGGTCTGGGTCTAGTTCTTGGTTTAGGACTGGATCTGGGTCTGAATCTGGGTCTGGGACTGATTCTGTGGTCTGAGGTCTGGGGTCTGAATGTGGGACTGGGGTCTGGGTCTGGGTCTAGGGTCTGGGGTCTTGGTTTGGGAATGGGACTGGGTCTGGGAATGGGGTCTGGGAATGGGGCTTGGGCTGGGGCTGGGGGCTGGGGTCTGAATCTGGGACTGCATCTGGGTCTGGATCAGGTTCTGGGGTCTGGGTCTGGGGCCTGGGGTCGGGGACTGGACCTGGCTCTAGTTCCGGGTCTAAGATTGGGTCTAGGTCTGGGTTTGGGTCTAGGACTGGGTCTGGGTCTGGGACTGGGTCTGGGTCTGGGTCTGGGATGTGGAGTTTGGGTCTGGGTCTGAGGACTAGGTCTGAGTCTAGGAATGGGTCTGGGTCTGGGTGTAGTTCTTGTTCAGGACTGGGTTTAGGTCTGGGAACGGGTCTGGGTCTGGGCCTGGGTCTAAGGTCTGGGGTCTGGGAATGGGGCTGGGGCTGGGGCTGGTGTCTGGGGTCTGATTCAGCGACTGCATCTGGGTCTGGATCTGGGTCTGGGGTCTGGGTTTGGGTCTGGGAATGTGTCTGGGTTTGGGAAGGGGCTGGGGCTGGGGGCTGAGTCTGGGACTGCTTCTGGGTCTGGATCTGGGTCTGGGATCTGGGGTCTGGGTCTGTCTGGTTCTAGTTCTGGGTCTAGTTCTGGGTCTAAGACTGGGTCTAGGTCTGGATCTGGGTCTAGGACTGGGTCTGAGTCTGGGACTGGGTTTGGGGTCTTGGTCTGGTGTCTGGGGTCAGGGGTCTGGGTCTGAGTCTGAGTCTGGGACTAGTTCTGGGTCTGGGACTGGGTCTGGATCTGTGACTGGGGTCTGGGTCTGGGAAGGCATCTGGTTCTGGGGTCTGGGAATGGGGCTGGGTCTGGGGTCTGGGGTCTGGGTCTGGGACTGGGTCTGGGTCTAAGGTCTGGGGTCTGGTTCTGGGACTGGGTCTGGATCTGGGTCTGGGCCTCCGTCTGGGGTCTGAGGTCTGAGTCTGAGGAGTAGGTCTGATTCTGGGACTGGGGTCTGGGGCCTGAGTCTGGGGTCTGGGGTCTGGGTCTGGGTCTGGGACTGGGACTGGGTCTGGGTCTGGGAAGGGTACTGGGACTGGGTCTGGGTCTGGGGTCTGAGTCTGGGTCTGGGCCTGGTTCTGGGATTGAGTCTGGGTTCTGGGTCTGGATGTAGGTCTGGGTTTTGGTCTGGGGTCTGGGTGTGGGTTTGGGTCTGGGACTGGGTCTGGGTCTGGGACTGAGACTAGGTCTGGGGTCTA